GACAGTTCTTGACTTGGGTTTGTTTGGGTTCATTGTATTTGGATGCATAACTTATTTATTTATTTTTGATAAATAAACAAACTTTATCAAGATAATATAAAGAATACAAAAACTAGCTTTAAGCTAGTGAACAAGAAATAAAACCATGAACAAAACAAACCCAACACAACGATTAAATAATCAAATCCTCTACAAAATCTACAAAAGTCAGCACATCTAGACCTACTGAAACCGTAACCCAACTATGAAGCACAGTAAGCAATCACCTCTCCGACCATGGCACCTTAAAATATGTGTTTATTCTGCTCCAACCAAATCAGCCACATCAAACCATGGCCAACAAGCATCCACGCCTTCTGACGCCTCTTCCCATCCTATCCCAACTCAACCCAACCCTACCCCTAGCCCAACTTTGCAATGCCTCCACCGTTGAACTTGGCTGCTCCCAACCCAAACCAAAAATAATAATGATGGACATCCATAGCCATGAATAGGGCTGCAAATGAGTTGAGTTGAGCCGAGCCGAGCCGAGCTTTACTATGTTTTTGCTTGTTTATTAAGATTTTAACAAACACGAACTTGCGTATGATACTAAAATTATAATTGAAATTTTGATTATATAATTATATATACAATATATATAAACATACAAAAAAAAAAGTCAATATTTTATCAAAATAATAATATCTACTGCCACTATTATATAAATGTACTATTTATAGTTAACTATTATTTACATTTATATTTTTCAAATATATAAATACCATATTTATCTTATTTTTTATACATATTTTTACATTATTTAATATATAAATAATAACTATTAAATGAGCCAGCTAACGAGCCGAGCCTTAGAATGTTTGGGCTTGTTTATTAAAAATTTAACGAGCTCGAGCTTGAGCTTGAACGCAAACAAAATTTAACGAACCGAGTTCGAATGAGCTCTTACTGAGCCGAACTCGAGCTTGTTCCGAATGGTTTTGTTCATTTGCAGCCCTAGCCATGAAGCAACCAGACAACGAATAAACAAATGATTCACCGTTTCCGCATTCCCACAATATAGACAACACCAATTAATTAAAATATGACCCCAACGAATCAAATTATCAATGGTCAACATCCGCCCTAATATTGCCGTTCACACAAAGAAAGCAACTTTGGACGGACATCCCACCACCTAAACACCCTTCCACGGGAATGGAACAACATCCCCACCGACAAGCAAATGATAAAAAGAAGCCACCGAGAACACCCTTTTGGACTTCGGCAATCCCATACCAAAGAATCCTCCCCATTCCCTCCAAACCGTAATCCATGCAAGAATCCCAACAACTCCATCATTTGACCCAATTCCCATTCTTGCAGCTCACGGCTCAAACCAACATTCCAAACCACCACCTGTCCTTGCACATGCGCATAAGATGCCACTGTCGCCTCCCGATCAATTGCAATTCGAAATATCAAAGGAAATAACTCCTCCAAAGACGCCGCACCACACAACCTATCTTTCTAGAACCTAACTTGATCCCCCACCCCCACCCTCACACTGAAACAAACCCTTTTCCAAAACTCCTCTCGACCTAGCCAAAACCCCTTTCACAAACTCCGCCCATGACTCTGCCTCACCTCTCCAATACTCCACTCCCCCTAACCCAAACCATATTTAGCCACCACCACCTTCCTCCACAACCGCCCCCTTTCCTTTGCTTGTCACGACCCCAAACTGCCCCTAGTAGTTTGGTGCCGTGATGGCCAGTAATCCGTAATTAACGAAGGCCAACTTTTCAAAAACTTAACACAATCAGAGTAATAATGAACGGGGCCCACAAATGTGGAAGAAGTAAATCAAAATACAAGTCGTCCTTAAGAGCTGTGCATAGATCAAATGCAATGACATTCATCTTACAACTTGAATACAACAAGCAAAATATGTGTTACATCTCGATCAAAAGGCTTCTCGAGCCGACATACGCAAAATACAATAAATACACGTCAAGAAGCATGATTTTCAAGATTTGCCGACATGCAATGCAAGGCATCGCCGACGTAAATACAAAAGCAAAGCCGACATAAGCACGAATCCAAAACAAGCTTTCAAAACAGTCTAGGCGTCGCCGCCGTCCTGCTCACCACCTACATATATATAGAGAGGGGTGAGTACAAATACTCAGTGAATGGTACTATCATCGGCAAAACAAGAGATGAACCGTATTCATCATTCAAAGCTTTCAAGTATCAAGGACTGCTCGCTGTCATCGGCAAAACGAGAGATGAACCGTATTCATCATTCAAACATTTCAAGTATCAAGGACTGCTCACTGTCATCGGCAAAACAAGAGATGAACCGTATTCATCATTCAAAGCTTTCAAGTATCAAGGACTGCTCGCTGTCATCGGCAAAACGAGAGATGAACCGTATTCATCATTCAAACATTTCAAGTATCAAGGACTGCTCACTGTCATCGGCAAAACAAGAGATGAACCGTATTCATCATTCAAAGCTTTCAAGTATCAAGGACTGCTCGCTGTCATCGGCAAAACGAGAGATGAACCGTATTCATCATTCAAACATTTCAAGTATCAAGGACTGCTCACTGTCATCGGCAAAACAAGAGATGAACCGTATTCATCATTCAAAGCTTTCAAGTATCAAGGACTGCTCGCTGTCATCGGCAAAACGAGAGATGAACCGTATTCATCATTCAAACATTTCAAGTATCAAGGACTGCTCACTGTCTTCGGCAAAACAAGAGATGAACCGTATTCATCATTCAAAGCTTTCAAGTATCAAGGACTGCTCGCTGTCATCGGCAAAACGAGAGATGAACCGTATTCATCATTCAAAGCTTTCAAGTATCAAGGACTGCTCGCTGTCATCGGCAAAACGAGAGATGAACCGTATTCATCATTCAAAGCTTTCAAGTATCAAGGACTGCTCGCTGTCATCGGCAAAACGAGAGATGAACCGTATTCATCATTCAAACATTTCAAGTATCAAGGACTGCTCACTGTCTTCGGCAAAACAAGAGATGAACCGTATTCATCATTCAAAGCTTTCAAGTATCAAGGACTGCTCGCTGTCATCGGCAAAACGAGAGATGAACCGTATTCATCATTCAAACATTTCAAGTATCAAGGGATGCTTACTGACATCGGCAAAACAAGGGATGAACCGTATTCATCATTCAAAGCTTACCAGTATCAAGGACTGCTCACTGACATCGGCAAAACAAGAGATGAACCGTATTCATCATTCAAGTTTACAAGTATCAAGGACTGCTCACTGTTATCGGCAAAACAAGGGATGAACCGTATTCATCATTCGAACATTTCAAGTATCAAGGGGTGCTCACTAACATCGGCAAAACAAAGGATGAACCGTATTCATCATTCGAACATTTCAAGTATCAAGGGGTGCTCACTAACATCGGCAAAACAAAGGATGAACCGTATTCATCATTCGAACATTTCAAGTATCAAGGGGTGCTCACTAACATCGGCAAAACAAAGGATGAACCGTATTCATCATTCGAACATTTCAAGTATCAAGGGGTGCTCACTAACATCGGCAAAACAAAGGATGAACCGTATTCATCATTCGAACATTTCAAGTATCAAGGGGTGCTCACTAACATCGGCAAAACAAAGGATGAACCGTATTCATCATTCGAACATTTCAAGTATCAAGGGGTGCTCACTAACATCGGCAAAACAAAGGATGAACCGTATTCATCATTCGAACATTTCAAGTATCAAGGGGTGCTCACTAACATCGGCAAAACAAAGGATGAACCGTATTCATCATTCGAACATTTCAAGTATCAAGGGGTGCTCACTAACATCGGCAAAACAAAGGATGAACCGTATTCATCATTCGAACATTTCAAGTATCAAGGGGTGCTCACTAACATCGGCAAAATTATTAGAAATACCACTCACCTAGTTCTTCAGGTATAGGCTCAAAGCAAATATCAAGGACCTCAAAACTCGAATCAAACGGGTCAAACCACGAAGATCAAGCTTGGAAGACTTGCTCTCACTCAAGGACTTCTCTTCCTCCCCTTTAGAGCTTCTCTCTCTAAAACAAAGATTGGAAACCAAAAAATGATTTGTTTCTAGGCCTGCCGGCTGCCTTAATGTCACGTTCGGACACGTGGCGCTACCGGGTTGGCTCAACTCAAAAAGGTGATTGATTGATAAGACAAGTCTCTGACAAAGCGTATGCAGCAAGCTGGGTAAGACACATCGGCAATAAATGACATTAGCTCAAATCAAGGATCCGGCAACAGGATAACAAAACATTGGCTAGGGAGGACGACGCTTGACTAAGCTGTGCCACACCTTGGCCGGGGTGTGCCACATCTTGGCCTAGGCCATACCTGCCGGCGGACAAGGTTCACTAAGTACAAGACATCTCGGCAATAAATGCCCGAGGTGAAGGTGGGGGTTGGCCAAGATCTCAAAACAGTTCTGAGTACAAAGGTTCAAAGGCGAACTAAGCTCAAGATGACCTCGGCCACACAAACACCGAACAAGGAACAAAACCACGCAAGCAATGCAAACAAACAAGGTAAGCAAATCCTTCCAATTAACGTAACAAGGCAAGATCATGCAGGAATGTATGCAAGTATGACAAGAGTAAGGTGAGGGTTGTTACAATATTTAGCCACCACCACCTTCCTCCACAACCGCCCCCTTTCCTTCACAAACCGCCACAACCCTAAAAGAGTCAAATTAAACAATACCAAACTTTGAACCCCAACCCCCTTATAGGCTTAGGAACACAAATTCGATCCCAATGCATAACTTATTGTTTCTGCTGGCTGCATTGCTGCTCAAAATTTTGCACCAGCTGATATTGTATAATACAAAGCAAAGTTTCCGTACATTCTGACTTGGAAGATGTTGTTAACTGGCACGACCTTGTCTAAACATGCTTGTGTTTCCTGCACGTGTATTCTATTCTTGTATATGATTTGTTTGGAATTGCTTGTTTCTAGAAACATGTAAAAGTCGAGGATGCTAATTTGAAACGGGCTCGTGAAGACCTCCAGAACAAAGTTGATTTTCTGCGAAAGCAAGCTGATTTCAGTTCCAATTTTCTTGGATTGCTTTATTCGTTTTGCATGAATCTCTAATGTGTCTCTTATGTCTATAATTTGTCTTGCTTTTTATGTTTCAGGGCTATGAAGGGGCCTGTTATAGATGCTGTTGTATGGCATGATGGAGAGCTATGGAGGGTTGCTCTTGACACACAGTCTTGAGGATGATCCTGAGCGGGGGAAACTTGCTGAATTTGTCCTCCTAACTAATTATAGGTTTGTATGATATGCTAGAGACAATGCTATACAACTGAAGTGTTTTAACTTTAGTCTGAGTTAGGGCAGTAGGATGATTTAGTAATTTACACTGATGAATAAAGAACTGCAATTTGCCTTCATTTGGTACGGTTTTGATTGAGATTGAGTATTTGTGTTTATCTGTTGTACTTATTCAGTTACTGGAAAGGAAAACTTGAATAATGAGTATCTATCATTGAGCCAAACAATAACAATAAAGTAAAAGGGTAAAATAAAAAATGATGCAGAGCATGCAATGACAAACTATGTTACACGGACTCTTCAAAATAAATTAAATATCTGTGTTGGACACCCGACATTTGAATAAGGGTATGTGATATGTGTTGAATATTTTTCAATAGATAATTCTTATATAATTGTATATAACACTATTATTATATGTACATATTGTTGTATAATTGCTATAAATGCCTTTTTGACACTGTAAGCTACATATAACACCATTTTATCTCACATAATTCATTAATTTATAAAAATATGGCATTTTTTTTTACTGAATCCGGTACCCTTAAATTCATAGTTTGATGTGTCCAACCTCTAGATATATACCCACGCCCGACACCCATATCTGAGTCCATGTAACATAGATGACAAATAAGGGCAAGGGCAGATTGGAAATTTTGCATGGTTTCTATTTGGAACCTTGTTTATCAAATTTTGGTATAATTTGAGTCTTATTTTATGTTTATGTAGTTTAGTTGGCTGCTAGCATATTCTTGTTTGTGTTGGTCAAGTTTTGATCTTAGAAGAATTTTGGTAATTTTTAGATTTGCTGGTTGGAGAATGGGTTTATGGGACGTGTTGCAGTGCAAGTTGTATTTAGGGTCTTATATATGATTTTTATTAGTTTTAGAATTATAGTAACATTATAACATAGCATTTCTGTTCAAGAGAGAGTTGGATTTTGAGAATGTGGGATTTTTTTTTTTTTTAAATGTGTGTGATGTGTTACGCAGACTTTTGTTAGGGGGTGATTCTTAAGGAATTCTAGTTGGAATTTCTAGCTTATTGTTCTTGATGAAACCAAAATTAGAGAATGGCTATCATTAGAGAGTGAAAGTCCCAAATTGGGATTTTAGAGCACTAAGCTTTGAATTTACAACCTTAAAATGTCATAAACTGACTCCTACAGGCAAACTAAGCCTTCTAAACACATATCCACCACTCTAAATCGTGTTACATCAGTTTCTTCTTATTCGACAATTGTCATTTGTGTTTTATTGTTCACAGCTCTAGAATAGCTTCAATTTCAGCACCAAAAACCTACTAGATGAAATCTAAATTAAGTCTATCTCCTTTCTACACCCATTGGCCCCCAATTCCCTGCCACAATATTTTACAAGGTGGTTGTCCAGAATCTTTAATCAGTCAATCTTTTATAATCCGGCAACCAAACAATTAGGAAACCATGCCCAGTTGTTACCCATCTAGCAACCCAGGAAGCATCCTCTATCTTATGGAACTCCAATCCTAAAAGCTTCACTAGCCCTAATGCCGCCACAACCCAACTGTGGGCAGCATTATCTTCACCCTATGCTACATCAATAAATAAATACATCGAGGCATGTAATGGCCTGACCCTAATTCATGAAACTGAATGAATAGTGGGCGCTCCATGAAATGCTTCTTGTATATCTGCATTCTGCACCATTTTTGAACAAAACTATCAGTGGGCACTCCATGAAATGCTTCTTGTATATCTGCATTCTGCACCATTTTTGAACAAAACTATCAGTGGGCACTCCATGAAATGCTTCTTGTATATCTGCATTCTGCACCATTTTTGAACAAAACTATCAGTGGGCACTCCATGAAATGCTTCTTGTATATCTGCATTCTGCACCATTTTTGAACAAAACTATCAGTGGGCACTCCATGAAATGCTTCTTGTATATCTGCATTCTGCACCATTTTTGAACAAAACTATCAGTGGGCACTCCATGAAATGCTTCTTGTATATCTGCATTCTGCACCATTTTTGAACAAAACTATCAGTGGGCACTCCATGAAATGCTTCTTGTATATCTGCATTCTGCACCATTTTTGAACAAAACTATCAGTGGGCACTCCATGAAATGCTTCTTGTATATCTGCATTCTGCACCATTTTTGAACAAAACTATCAGTGGGCACTCCATGAAATGCTTCTTGTATATCTGCATTCTGCACCATTTTTGAACAAAACTATCAGTGGGCACTCCATGAAATGCTTCTTGTATATCTGCATTCTGCACCATTTTTGAACAAAACTATCAGTGGGCACTCCATGAAATGCTTCTTGTATATCTGCATTCTGCACCATTTTTGAACAAAACTATCAGTGGGCACTCCATGAAATGCTTCTTGTATATCTGCATTCTGCACCATTTTTGAACAAAACTATCAGTGGGCACTCCATGAAATGCTTCTTGTATATCTGCATTCTGCACCATTTTTGAACAAAACTATCAGTGGGCACTCCATGAAATGCTTCTTGTATATCTGCATTCTGCACCATTTTTGAACAAAACTATCAGTGGGCACTCCATGAAATGCTTCTTGTATATCTGCATTCTGCACCATTTTTGAACAAAACTATCAGTGGGCACTCCATGAAATGCTTCTTGTATATCTGCATTCTGCACCATTTTTGAACAAAACTATCAGTGGGCACTCCATGAAATGCTTCTTGTATATCTGCATTCTGCACCATTTTTGAACAAAACTATCAGTGGGCACTCCATGAAATGCTTCTTGTATATCTGCATTCTGCACCATTTTTGAACAAAACTATCAGTGGGCACTCCATGAAATGCTTCTTGTATATCTGCATTCTGCACCATTTTTGAACAAAACTATCAGTGGGCACTCCATGAAATGCTTCTTGTATATCTGCATTCTGCACCATTTTTGAACAAAACTATCAGTGGGCACTCCATGAAATGCTTCTTGTATATCTGCATTCTGCACCATTTTTGAACAAAACTATCAGTGGGCACTCCATGAAATGCTTCTTGTATATCTGCATTCTGCACCATTTTTGAACAAAACTATCAGTGGGCACTCCATGAAATGCTTCTTGTATATCTGCATTCTGCACCATTTTTGAACAAAACTATCAGTGGGCACTCCATGAAATGCTTCTTGTATATCTGCATTCTGCACCATTTTTGAACAAAACTATCAGTGGGCACTCCATGAAATGCTTCTTGTATATCTGCATTCTGCACCATTTTTGAACAAAACTATCAGTGGGCACTCCATGAAATGCTTCTTGTATATCTGCATTCTGCACCATTTTTGAACAAAACTATCAGTGGGCACTCCATGAAATGCTTCTTGTATATCTGCATTCTGCACCATTTTTGAACAAAACTATCAGTGGGCACTCCATGAAATGCTTCTTGTATATCTGCATTCTGCACCATTTTTGAACAAAACTATCAGTGGGCACTCCATGAAATGCTTCTTGTATATCTGCATTCTGCACCATTTTTGAACAAAACTATCAGTGGGCACTCCATGAAATGCTTCTTGTATATCTGCATTCTGCACCATTTTTGAACAAAACTATCAGTGGGCACTCCATGAAATGCTTCTTGTATATCTGCATTCTGCACCATTTTTGAACAAAACTATCAGTGGGCACTCCATGAAATGCTTCTTGTATATCTGCATTCTGCACCATTTTTGAACAAAACTATCAGTGGGCACTCCATGAAATGCTTCTTGTATATCTGCATTCTGCACCATTTTTGAACAAAACTATCAGTGGGCACTCCATGAAATGCTTCTTGTATATCTGCATTCTGCACCATTTTTGAACAAAACTATCAGTGGGCACTCCATGAAATGCTTCTTGTATATCTGCATTCTGCACCATTTTTGAACAAAACTATCAGTGGGCACTCCATGAAATGCTTCTTGTATATCTGCATTCTGCACCATTTTTGAACAAAACTATCAGTGGGCACTCCATGAAATGCTTCTTGTATATCTGCATTCTGCACCATTTTTGAACAAAACTATCAGTGGGCACTCCATGAAATGCTTCTTGTATATCTGCATTCTGCACCATTTTTGAACAAAACTATCAGTGGGCACTCCATGAAATGCTTCTTGTATATCTGCATTCTGCACCATTTTTGAACAAAACTATCAGTGGGCACTCCATGAAATGCTTCTTGTATATCTGCATTCTGCACCATTTTTGAACAAAACTATCAGTGGGCACTCCATGAAATGCTTCTTGTATATCTGCATTCTGCACCATTTTTGAACAAAACTATCAGTGGGCACTCCATGAAATGCTTCTTGTATATCTGCATTCTGCACCATTTTTGAACAAAACTATCAGTGGGCACTCCATGAAATGCTTCTTGTATATCTGCATTCTGCACCATTTTTGAACAAAACTATCAGTGGGCACTCCATGAAATGCTTCTTGTATATCTGCATTCTGCACCATTTTTGAACAAAACTATCAGTGGGCACTCCATGAAATGCTTCTTGTATATCTGCATTCTGCACCATTTTTGAACAAAACTATCAGTGGGCACTCCATGAAATGCTTCTTGTATATCTGCATTCTGCACCATTTTTGAACAAAACTATCAGTGGGCACTCCATGAAATGCTTCTTGTATATCTGCATTCTGCACCATTTTTGAACAAAACTATCAGTGGGCACTCCATGAAATGCTTCTTGTATATCTGCATTCTGCACCATTTTTGAACAAAACTATCAGTGGGCACTCCATGAAATGCTTCTTGTATATCTGCATTCTGCACCATTTTTGAACAAAACTATCAGTGGGCACTCCATGAAATGCTTCTTGTATATCTGCATTCTGCACCATTTTTGAACAAAACTATCAGTGGGCACTCCATGAAATGCTTCTTGTATATCTGCATTCTGCACCATTTTTGAACAAAACTATCAGTGGGCACTCCATGAAATGCTTCTTGTATATCTGCATTCTGCAC